TCTTCTATATAGTTGACCACCTTTGAAGTTGCATCGAGCTGCTTTAGTGCGCAGTGCCCGAGATGCCTTGGGATCTTCAGGCATAGTCAATGATCTCAATTTTCCAGTCCCAGACCAAATTAGATGTGTTTACTTCGTAATAGTTGTCTCCGTCTAATAGCGAATGCATAAGCTGCACGACCGTATCGGAGTCCGATCCCTTTATTTTCGTGAACGCTCCCAAATTATCCAGTGCGTCTGCCTCCACGTTTTCTTCTCTAGGGATATGGGTAATTGACCATTCCCTGAACTATGTGAGCAAGGCCTGAACTTTCCCTACAAACTGTTGCATGCATTCCTCTTTGGCTTTGAAGATCCCGTGGACCTGATTTACTACCAACTGAGAGTTGCATTTGATTTCTATGACCTTGGAGTCTAGTCCCCGGGCCAGCTCGAGTCCTGCGATCAAATCTTCATACTCTGCTTTATTATTAGTCATAGGAATGGTTCTTATGACTTGCCTTAGGGTTTCTCCTGAGGACGTGGTTACCACTATGTCGAGCCCAGACCCCTTCACATTGGAAGTTCCGTCCATGAACAAGGTCCAAACTCCTTATGTCAATTCTGACACTATCACTACTTCTTTGGTAGCCAAAGGTAACAGTCCCGGACTAAAATCGGCCAGAAAGTCGGCCAAAACTTGTGACTTAATCGCATTCCTAGGTTTATATTCTATGTCAAATTCAGTTATTTCGAATGCCCACTTAGCCAGCCTACCTGAAAGTTTAGGTTTATGAAGAATATTTCGTGGGGGGAAAGTGATCACCACGTCTATCGGATGACATTGGAAATAAGGCCTAAGCTTTCGAGCGGGGACTATGAGAGCTAAGGCCAATTTCTCGAGATGTGGGTGGCAAGTTTCTACAATCGTTAAAATTTTACTAACATAATAAATAGAAGATTGTATACTTTTGTCCTTTTGAACTAAAACGGCATTTACTGCTACCTCCAAGACCGCTAAGTAGATCAGTAGTTATGTCACGACCCAATTCTATAATAGGCCGTGATGGCGCCTAACGCCGCCGCAAGCCAAGCCAACTGTGAACTAACACGTGATTTCCTCTTTTTCTTTTAATAAATTTTTCCAAGTAATTAAACATTCCCTAAATTAAAAAGATATAAGAAATAATAGATCTAGAATAAATAACACGAAAGCAACTGTGTGCAATCATAATCATATAATAAAACCAAACCCACAAGTCTACTAGTGTGTGCCAAGACCTGGTGTCACAAGTGTATGAGCATCTAGTAGAATATACAAAAGAATACTAGTTTACTGTCCGAAGTGAAATAGACAGAAAAATACAATCAAAAGAAAGACTCAGGCTACTGCAGAACGGGCTCAGAAGGCAGCTCACCGTGAAGCCTTGAAGTGGTAATCAAGTGTGCGCGCCTGACTGATATCAGATGCACCTGCCTCAGATTCGGCACATTAAGTGCAGAAGTGTAGTGTAAGTACATAAACAACATGTACCCAGTAAGTATCCAGTCTAACCTCGAAGAAGTAGTGACGAGGGGTCAATTTCCACACTTACTATGGGCCAACAATATAATAAGATGAAATTCTAATTAAACGTGATATATATATATATATATATATATATATATATATATATATATATATAAGTGACAATTTAACTCAGAGCAAGAAATAAATAAACAAATTCTTTCACCGTTAGTAAGAACCAAATCATTTTCTTCATTTAACCATGTAATCTCTCAAGCCAATGAAATAATATAAAATATAAAGGGGCTTCCAGTATCAATACGCACGAATTATGCCGAAGATGTACGGCCCGATCCAAACATACATATTCATATACTGTGTGCACTGCCGAGGTCGAACGACATGAACCATAGATGTATCTATTAACATGCCAAGGCGAATGGCCTGCTCCCATGAGAGTAGTGTAAATTTACCCAGCTCGCGGAATATAGTTGCGACGCGGTTCAACATAGATTTTTCAAGTTATCATAATATCCCTCAATTCTTTCCAAAATAATAAATTCAACTAGAATTTTTAAAAATCTTGAAATCCTCAATCTCAACTCTATTCAAGGCAATTAATAAGCTTAATTAAATAACGGTGTCAACAAAGCATGGTGTGAACCTAAAGTTACCCGGACATAAGCATGAATATTAGCTACATATGTCCATACGTAGCCCCCACAAATAGAGGCACATATTAATTTAGTTCACCTATGGGGTTAATTCCCTCTTACAAGGTTAGAAAAGAGACCTTCCTCGCCTCAAAGCCTACTTTCCGGTCCAAGATTGTGCCCAATCCCTCAACTCGGTGCCAAACGACTCGAAACTAGTCAAATATTATATAAAATAATCAATACATGTTTAAAAGTTCATATCCTAACTATCAAAGTGATTTCCCAAGCCTATTTGAAGAATTCCTAAAATTCACCGCCGGGTCCACGTGCCCGGTTTCCGAAAATTTTCGAAGAAAGTTGTTACCCATAACCTCGTGAACTCAAATATATGACTTTTACTAAATTCCATACACATTTCGTGGTTAAATCTCATTTTTATCAAAAACCTAGGTTTTCACCTAAACCCATGTTTTCACTAATTTAAATATTATAATCTACCCATAAACTATGTATTTAACTCACATTGTGTATAAATTACTTACCTAAAAGTGCTAAGTGAAATACCCTCTATAAGAGCACCAAGAATTGCCCAACAATGAACGAAAATGAGCCAAAATAGCCTAGGTACCGCTTTTAAAAGATGATTCTGCCCAGGGGTCCTTATACGCAATCGCGGCCAGGCTCTCGCGATCGCGATGGCTAAACTGAGGAGTCCAGGAAAAAGGCTCTTCGAGAAGACCCATGCGAACGCGAAGCACTGGGCCGCCTACTCCTCACAAACGCGAGGCCCAACACGCGAACGCGTAAGGCAACTGGGTTGCCCAAGCCCAGGCCTAGGCTTTTACGCGAACGCGACCTGTCCAATGCGAATGTAAAGGCCAAAGGGTCAAGGCCTCCGCGAACGCGGCCCTGCATATGTGAACGCGAAGGGAAAAAACCCTCATTCCCCAAATCCTTCATCGCGAACGCGAGGGTCTGTCCGCGTTCGCAAAGAAGGAAACTAGATCAGAAAATCTGGTGTTTTTCAACTTAGCTCCGGGCGGTCAGAAACACACCCAAGCCCCTCGGGACTCCGTCTAACTACTCCAACAAGTCTATAAACATAGTACGGATTTGCTCGAACTCTTAAAATGCGTAAAACAACAACAAAACCAAGAATCACACCCCAAAACCAAATTGAATCAAGATATGAACTTCAAGTTTCCAAATCGCTCTGAATGCGCTGAATTATACTTAGACTACTTGAAATGACACCAAATTTTGCGTGCAAGTCTTGAATGATATTACGGAACTATTCCCAGTATCAAAATTCCACTTGGACCTCTATATCACCAAAACCTACTCCAAACCAAGTTTAAAGAACTTCAAAACTCTTCAAAGAACCAATTTTCACTATTAGGCGCCAAAACGCTCCCGGGTCATCCAAAACCCGATCTGAACATATGCCCAAGTCCGAAATCATCATACAAACCTATTGGAATCGTTAAATCCCAATTCCTAGGTCGTTTGCTCAAAAAGTTGACCGAAGTCAAACTTAGCCTTTTTAGCCAACCTTAAATAACCAAGTGTTCCGATTTTAACCCGAACCCTTCCAAATCCCGAACTAACCATCCCCGCAAGTCATAAAACAAGTTGTTCACCTTCCTCTGATTTTGATAGCAATAGAGGACTTAACTAATACCATTTCAAATCCTTTAAAGCTTGCTGACATTCCGGAGTCAATTCAAAATTGTTCTTCTTTTTGTGTGGCAAAAAGAAATGATGGCAATTCTTCGAAGACCGGGAAATGAATCTGCTCAAAGCGGCCAGTCTCCCTGTCAACCTTTGAACCTCTTTCACGTTTGATAATTAGTCTGGGATATCTTCGATGGCATTAATTTTATCGGGGTTAACCTCGATCCCTCTTTGCGACACTAGGAATCCCTAGAACATACCAGAGCTGACCCCGAACGCACACTTCTCGGGGTTAACCTTCATGTTTTGCTTTCTTAGGATGTCAAAGGTTTCTTGCAAGTATTTGAGATGATCATCTGCGTTCAAAGACTTAACCAGCATATCATCTATGTAAACTTCCATGGTTTCCCTATTTGTTTCTCAAATATTTTGTTTACAAGCCGTTGATAGGTGGCTTCGGCGTTCTTTAACCCGAAAGGCATCACATTATAACAATATGTGCTGAAGTTTGTTATGAACAAAGTTTTTTCCTGATCCTCCAGGTTCATCTTGATTTGGTTGTACCCGGAGTAAGCATCAAAGAAACTCATTAACTCGTGCCCAGCCGTCGCATCAATCGTTTGGTCAATGTTCGATAATGGAAACGAGTCTTTCGGGCACGCCTTATTTAGATCCTTACAGTCTAAGCACATGCAAAATTTATTATTATTCATTGGAACTACTACTACGTTAGCTAGCTAGTCAGGATACTTTACCTCTCGGATTGAACCAATATCAAGCAAACGAGTTACCTCTTCTTTGACGAATTTGTTTCTGACCTCGACGATAGGATATTTTTTCTACCTTACCAGAGGGATGTTAGGATCCAAACTTAGTTTGTGCACAGCCACTTCCGGAGGGATACCTGTCATATCCGCATGCTACCACGCAAAACAATCAACATTAAATTTAAGAAATTTGATGAATCCATACCTGAGCTCGGGGTTTAGTCTTGTCCCTAAGTGAAACTTCCTCTCTAAGAACTTCTCGAACAACGCGACATGTTCAAGTTCTTTCGTTGTGGAATTTGTCGCGTCCACTTCTTCTGGTACCTAGAAATACCTCAGTACCTGATAGGATTCCAACGACTCCTCTCCCTTGTTCATTTTGCTCGGCTCGTGAGCAGGCACCGATTCCTGTAATTGCTATGCTACATGTTTCTTCCCTTTGCTACTATAAACTAAGATTGCATTCATCTCCCTCGCCGTCGGTTGGTCGCCTCTTATTTGTTTAATTCCCTCGAGAGTTGGGAATTTTAACAATGGATGATATATTGACGGCACAGCTTTCATCTCGGGCAACCATGGTCTCCCCAGGATAATATTGTAGCCCATATCACCGTCTACTACCTCGAAAAGGGTCTTCTTCATCACCCCCTTGGCATTCGTGGGCAGCAGGATCTCTCCTCGGGTTGTCACACTTGCCATATTGAACCCGACGAGGAGTTTTGTGGCCGGAATGGTACTTCCGGTCAACTTGGCTTGCTCCAGCACTCTCCACTGGATAATATTGTCCGAACTTCCTGGGACCACCAAAACACGTTGAATTTTCAAATCTAAGACATTAATAGAGATTACCAAGGCATCGTTGTGTGGCAACAATAATCTATTGCCATCTTCCTCCGTAAAAGTGATGTCATCCTCAGCTTCTTCCTGGAGTCTCTTACTGTGGGTTACTAATACCTTTGTCTTTTTTGCCTCCGAAAAAGTAACACTATTAATCTCGTTTACCCCCAAAAATCATGTTGATTGTCAGACGTGGAGGATATCTCTTGCTTTCGAAGGTTCCGCATTACCATGATTGCGGCCATAGTTTTTTTTAGCCCGATCACTTAAGAATTCTCTCAGATGGACATTTTTCAACAATGTTGCCACCTCCTCATGCAAACGCCAGCAGTCCCCTATCTGGTAGCCGTTGATCCCATGGTATGCGCACCATAAATTATGATCCATTTGGCTGGGATCAGATCTTATTGGCTTCGAGAAGCGTGCCTCTTTAATGTTTCTCATAGCCAACACCAACTCCACTACGCTGACGTTGAAGTTGTATTCAGAAAACTTGGGTAGGAGGAATATTGAGAACCTAATATCTCCTTGTCCTGCAATGACCTGTTATTCCAGTCGCGATTAGCTGTCATATCGGTAGCGAGTCTATCCGCCAACCGAAAACCTTTGTCGCGTCCTTTGGCTCTTTCATAGGGCAAAAACAGACCCCTTAAAGACCGTTGATATGAGTCGAAGTCATCCTTGATTTCTCCTTATTCTTTTACCAATTCTGGCCCTTGGTTGATGCCAGAAAACTGAGCTGATCATCTTCAATTCTTATCTTTGACTCATAACGATTATGAACATCCGCCCATGTTGTTGCCTGGAACTCGAGCAAAATTTTTTTCAATTTTCGAGAAGCATCGGAACTTCTCGAATTTAACACTTTAGTAAATGTTTCGGCTCCACGTGTCGCTTCATCATGCAAGCATTTAATAAGAATATATTTTACCCTATACAATAATTTTCGTCCCATTCTCTAAATTTGTTTTGCTTTTGTAAAGTAGGATTTGATATTGTCCGTGTGTTTTTCAAAAATTGTATACGTACTTTGGTTTCTTCACAATTTTTATTTATATATAATTTTCTAAAAATATAACTAATGAAACTTGAGTAACTGGGCAAAATGATCAAATAAAGAGTTTCTTTATTCTAAAAAGTTATTTTTCACGTCAATGATTTAGGCGGATAGTATTGTAGGTTACGTCGGAAAGTTGAACAGTTAAATCATGAAGGGAATCTCAGTCAAATTAATATCTTTAGGTTTGGTTCGTTATCAAGTCCTTCCTCTTGAATATAAAACTTATCAAGAGTAAAAAGTTCGTTTGAAAAAACCGACCGTGAGTGATGCAAAACATAATTATAATCATTAGATTACAACTCGGAGCTCATAATCATGTAATACTGAATTGATGATATGCACACGATTCTCCCCAAAAAAATCACGATTTTTGTTATTTTAAGACATAGTCACTTAAATCTCGAATTGAATTCCGACCAGATTAGTATCTTAGGCTCCGATAATGACTGGGTCATTTTCTGGAATGTAGATTATCAAGTAAACAAATTATTTGAAATCATAATCACGTTACATTTTCCTTTCTTTTCCTTATTAGGAAGGACGTGAATACAAATAGAAAAGAAGAGGAAACTCTTTTAAAATTAAAACATACAGGATAAATATTGCACCTCGAATTGCATACATCATAATCGTGTAATAATGGATTGCTGAAACTCACACATTTCTCATAAAAACAATAATTTCTAACAAGATCTTTATTATTTCGAAGATTTAAGCTCAATCGAATAAATGTTTAATTATTTCATCTTATAATTCAATTGGGATGTCCTCATAAAAGATAGAAAGATCACGCTTATAAAACATAGTGCTTGCATTGATTGAGCATACATAGTAGATATTGTCAAAATATCAACTTTCATTGCTTTCATTTATATTATCCTTTTTGTTATTTTCCTATTTCAGCGATATTCGAGCTATCGCGGAAGATTAGGACATATTTAATGTTTAAATCAAATAGTGAATGATACATGGCAATTATTATTTACATACATTTTAATCTCGTAAATGTGTGTGTGTGTATATATATATGCATACATACATTTTAATCTCGTAAATGTGTGTATATGTATATCCCAAATCGAAGGGCCGCGACGGGCACCCGGTTCCTTACTCAACCGAGTACCAACGTAACATATCTTTCTTATAATACTATCATGGGTAAATGATGCAGAAAGGCCGTCATGAGATAACAAGAATAAAACATAAGGGAATACTTGACATAGGACGACCCTCATGTAATACAAACTTATACATGTAACATACGGTCCTATAAGACCAAAACGAATACTCGTACACTGAACATAGGCTGACAAGGCCATACAATATTTCATATACATGACATATGTCTACAAGCCTCTAAGAGTAGATACACATCATAAAGGTCGGGACAGGGCCCCGCCATACTAACCAATACATGTCCAAATCATACTGACCGAATAGGCAACTCCGGAGCAAGTGGAGTGCACCAACACCTTCCGCTGAGCTGATAGCCTACTAGGAGGACTGTCAACCTGTCTATCAGGACCTGCGGGCATGAAACGCAGCGTCCCCAGGAAAAGGGAGTCAGTACGAATAAAGTACCGAGTATGTAAGGCAGGAAAGCATAAATAGGAACAGTAATGTAAAGTGAGATATAGGAGATACAACCTGTAACATCTGAGTGTCTCTGGGGCTACTAACATGAAATGCATAATACATATATAAACATAAAGTCTTACAAACATACGCCTCTGTGTGCATCATCATCATCATATCGTACCCGGCCTCAAAGAGGACTCGGTAAAAATGTACCCGGCCATCATAAGACTCGGTAGAATCGTACCCAGCCACGTGGAGCTCGATAAACCCAACTGATCAGTGGTTGCACAATAGGTGCCGTACCCGGCCGACTATAGCGCGGCTCGGTAGAGTAAAATATATACTATATATAAAGCATGCTGGACTCATGGAATCAAGTTCTAATCCTTTCGGAGTGACGTAAGGTCGTTGCACCTTCGATTAACATTATGTACATCCATACCATCAATATGAACCTCAACAGGATTCAAGGATCATACATACTTGCTTAGAATAACTTTATAAGGAAAGAACAACTATCACGACCCGGATTTCCCACCCTCGGGAGTCGTGATGGCGCCAACTCGTAGAAGCTAGGCAAGCCGGGAAATATAGAAATCACTAACTCTCATATTTTAATCCTTTTTAACAAACTTAGATTAAAAGGTTATGAACATTTAATATTAACGATAAACAGAACAAGTGGAAGACTTAGACAGATAAAATAACCAAAGCCAGTACTACAATGCCAATATACTCCTCTACTCGGAATCTGGTGTCACAATATCACGGACTGTCTATGAGTACTACATACAAGTGTCTGAAAAAGAAAATACAGTCTGTCTCGGAAACAAGTGAAAACAGAACACATAGTAAGATAGAAGAGAACGTCGGGCCTGCGGACGCCTGCAGGACTACCTCGGGATCTCTAGCTGGGCTGATGGCAGCCTCTCCAAGTGCTACTGTCCAAAAGCTGCTCCTGAATCTGCACATAGTGCAGTGTGTAGCATCAGCACAACCGACCCCATGTGCTGGTAAGTGCCTGGCCTAACCCCGGCGAAGTAGTGACGAGGCTAGGACCAGACTCCAGATAAACCTGTGCAGTTATATAATATACAGCGAAAAATAAAACAGAAATGAACAAATAAAGATGGGAGGGGGTACATGCTGTGGGGAAAATACCAAGTCCAGCAGGAACTCAAGAGAAATATGAGAGAACAATTCAAAATCTACAACAAAACATTAATAATACTGTTGCGGCGCGCAACCCGATCCCTTATCATTTAACACTGTTACGGCGTGCAACCCGATCCATTTATATCACTGTTGCGGCGTGCAACCCGATCCAATATAATATTGTTGCGGCGTGCAACCCGATCCAATATAACATTTGTTGCAGCGTGCAACCCGATGCAATATAATATTGTTGCGGCTTGCAACCCGGTCCAATATAACATTATTGCGGCGTGCAACCCGATCCATATTTAGTATTGTTGCGGCGTGCAACCCGATCCATATATTTATATACTTTTAGCAACAACCATGCCAAGACCCGGCAAGGGATCAACAATAAGTTACACTATCCCGGCAAGGGATTCAACGGTAAAAGTAAATACGTCCCGGCAAGGGAGAATCAGCTATAACCAATCTTAACTCAACTTCTACTCATCTCAGCTAACACTAATACTCAATCATAAGTAATTTCCACGAAAACAAACTTAATCCTTTCTCAATATCGAGAATCATCAATTAAAGCATCCGTAGTATCATTTAAGAACACAACAAATTTCAATTAGGACTCACGGTCATGCTCGACACCAACGTATAGATACTCGTCACCATGCCTATACGTCGTACTCAACAAGAAGCAAATAGAAAATAGGACATAACTCCTAATCCCTCAAGCTAAGGTTAGACCGAACACTTACCTAGAACTTCCACGGCCAACTCAAGCCTCAAACACCGCTTTCCCTTTCGAATTTGGCTCCAAATCAATCGTATCTATACATAATCGACTTAATAACATCAATAAATGCTCAACAATCCAATTCCAATACTTAATTATAGATTTCTAATCATTCTTCCCAAAAAGTCAAAAATCGACCTCGGGCCCGCTTGGTCAAAACACGAGGTTCGGACCAAAACCCCATCACCCATTCACCCACGAGCCCGAATATATAATTAGTTCCAAAATTCGACCCCAAAACGAGGTCTAAATCACAATTAATCAAAAAGCCCTAACTCTACCCAAATCCCTAATTTTCTACCCTTAAGAACATGATTTATGCCTAGAAATCTAATGGGTGTTAATGGAAATTGAAGAAAATGAGTCTAAGATTACATACCTATGAATCGGTGGTGAAATCCCCTTTCAAAAATCGCCCAAATTGGAGTTTAAATGAAGAAGTTATGAGTTTTGGTAAAAATCCCGTAATGGCTACTGTTTTTTAAAGCTTAAAATAACTGGGCGGAATTGGTCATCGCGATAGGCTCATCGCGTTCGCGATGAGTTAGGCCTGATAGGCATTCGCGTTCGAGGAAGACGGATCGCGTTCACGGAGAAGTAACTCCTCGAGCCTTCGCGTTCGCGTCCAAGTGGTCGCGTTCGCGTAGGTATAATTTTCCCTT